ACTTATACTTAGTGCATAGTATAGCGTAAGTATATATATTATATATATATAAGCTATATTCGATATAATATTACCTAATACACTTATACTTAGTGCATAGTATAGCGTAAGTATATATATTCGATATAACATTACCTAGTACACTTATACTTAGTGCATAGTATAGCGTAAGTGTGTGTGTGTGTATATATATATATATATATATATAAAAGTTATATTCGATATAATATTACTTAATACACTTATACTTAGTGCATAGTATAGCGTAAGTACATATATTCGATATAATATTACGTAATACACTTATACTTAGTGCATAGTATAGCGTAAGTATATATATTATATATATATAAGCTATATTCGATATAATATTACCTACTACACTTATACTTAGTTCATAGTATAGCGTAAGTATATATATTGGATATAACATTACCTAATACACTTATACTTAGTGCATAGTAAAGTATATATATATAAGCTATATTCGATATAATATTATGTAATACACTTATACTTAGTGCATAGTATAGCGTAAGTATATATATATATATATATATATATATATATATATATATATATAGAGAGAGAGAGAGAGAGAGAGAGAGAGAGAGACACACACACGCACGCTTCGTAGTACTATTCATCCCTTGTATTACAAAAGTGTTAACGGCTAACATTTATATTATTTATTTAGTAAATACAAAAGTGATTTTTAATTTTGACCAATGGTGACCTAAATAGCGACCAACTTTGGTTGCTAAACATACATAATTTTAAATTAGCGACCCAAGTTGGACGCTAAATTTAAATCAGATTTATTTATCTTTCATATAATTTTTAAAATATTAACTGGGTCCCAGGTTAGCGACCAAAGTTGGTCTATATTCTACTGAACGACCAACATTGGTCGCTAAAGTTGAATTATATTTATTTATATTTTATAATTTTTTTTAAACAAAATTATAATTATTAAAATTTTATAACTGGGTCCCAAATTAGCGATCAAAGTTGGTCTCAATCTGTTTACTCTTTATATAGCGACCAACTTTGGTCGCTAATATTAAATTTTATTTATTTATATTTTATTATTTTTTAAAAATAATAATATAATTATTAAAATTTAATAGGTGGGTCCCATGAAGTGACCAACGTTGGTTGCTAATCTGAGTAATTCTTTGACCAAGCAAGTCTGACTATTCCGGTCAACAGTTTGACAAAATTTTCGACCAAGTGGCGACCAACGTTGGTCGCTAATTTATTTAAAATTATTATTTTATTATTTTCACCAGTTTAGCGACCAACTTTGGTCGCTTTTCTTGACAGACCAACGTTGGTCGCTAAAGCTTGGTCGCTTTTTGCAGGAATTCTAGTAGTGTGTAATCTGAAACATATTCATTTTCTTTCATATGCAATGATTCAAACTCTCCTCTTAAGGTCTAGAGACGAACCTTTTTCACTTTGTCCAAACCTTTAAAGGAAGTTTGAAGAATGTCCCATGCTTGCTTGGAGGTTGTCGCATTTGCAACCTTCTGGAACATCTTGTCATCCAAACCTTGATGGATGAGAGTGCGTGCATTTTGATCTTTCTTATTTGTGGCAGCGGCATCTTCCGCTCCATCAACTCCAGACTCTACCGGTTCCCAAACATCATAGGCACCAAGCAAGGCCTTCATTCGAATACACCAATTCTCATAGTTCTCTTTTGTGAGCATAGAAACTTGGAATGGTGTTCTATTAGTGTTTGTCATCTTTTCTCCAAGTTTGGTTGTCTCTCAACACACTGGCTCTGATACGAAATGTTAGAAATTTTTGGGAGAGCAAGACAACTAAACAAACACTCAAAACTCACTATTAGAGAGGTGGAGGAAAGGATGATTTCTATTCAACTTCACTTGCACCAAATGGCTAGCATACATGGGTATTTATAGTAGAACTCCTACATGTATCTAGCCTAAACTTCATGTGTACATATTAATTAAGTCCACACATGTACACACTAGTCCATACATGCCTACACTAGTTCACACAAATTCACACATGTCCACACCTCACTCTTTTCTAACTATATGTATGGAAACATTAAATTAATGTAAACAAATCTAAACAAATGTGGACAAATGGAAACAAGTTTATTACTATTTTTAACAAGTAGTTCATGTCTTTCTTTGAACCTCTACAACTGTCGTAGTAGCATATTCATCCCACTTTCACCTCTGTCTGCTCCGATTTCGGATTTCCATACCTGCTAAAAATATTGGTCTATAAGAGCAGAATGCTTGTTTCTGAAAAATTGAGATTCTGAATGTACTCAGGTGCCATTCTGATCGCCTCTTCTTCTATAGGAACGAAGCTTCGTATTTGTTTTTCTTCAAGCAGCAACCTTTGCCAATAACAAAGGTAGCATGTTTGGCTTTGTAGAGGTATCCAGCTGAAGAAATAGCTCTCCATTCTTTTATCCTTTGGTACTTGTGGGGCATTGATCACGTCCACCTCCATTTTTCTTACAAAACAAGCACAATTTTAACCATAAATTTCAAATCTTCTTAATGAGGAACATTTCAGGAGATATGACATGAAAAGTTCAAAGAGAAACCAAGAAAGAGAACACAAGCATATAGCAGGCATAAGTTACATCTTCCTCGCTGGTCTACCGCAAAACTCATTTGCGCATCTTCCTCTGTATCTTCATCTGGATGATCCTCAGGAGCGGAGCTAGCTTCAATATGTGGGTTCGGCTGAACACAGTAATTTTGATCCAAACTCTGTATTTATCTTAAGAAATTTATTTAATATGTGCAAATTGTTAATTTAGAACCCACTAGAATTCCGAACCCACAAACTTCAATCTTGGCTCCGCCTTTGGTGTTCTTTGAATCTTTCTACACTTCGTCTCGAGTAAACATAAAATTAGGGCTGTCAAATTTGGCCCAAGCCCAAATGACCCGCCCAACCCGCCCAAGGTTGGGTTGGTTATTAACCAGCCCATTTATTAAACTTAGCCCATCTTGACCCAACCCATCTCAACCCATTTAAAGTTGGGCTAATTTTTAGCCCAAATTGATCCATGAGTAAGTTTGTCAAAATATCTTAGAAATAATTTTATTTTTTGTTTAATATTTTAAATATGACCATAACAAAAGCAAAAAAGCCTTATTTAGTAATTATACAATTTATAAGAAAATAACACATATTAATTAAAGTTTAATAAGAGTTGGGCGGGTTGGGTTATGACCCGAATTTTAACCCATCTTGACCCAACCCATCTTAGCCCAAGTAACTTTTGGGCGGGTCAAATATTGACTCAACCCATTTTGACCCGCCCAAAATTGACCCAAACCGCCCATTTGACATCCTTACATAAAATGAAAACAGTTTAGAAATTAGAACTCAAAACCCTTTCTTTATAAGCAACACATATCCACATAGATTATATGATTCAAACATATTTTATTTCAACCAAGCTATAATTGTATAAAAACGTACGATCTCCTACTTATCATTGATGTAGGAGGCACAATTCTTTCTTTTTTCTTTGCAACATTTCATGTGCCACCTTTTCAGGAAATTAATTGTAATAACTTTGTTAACGCTGTGGGGAAAGCCCTGGTATACAAGTAGGAGAAAATAGATAAGCAAGGAACCTTTCAATAGGTTTGTTGTTCCTAACATATTTCTACAACCAAAAGATGAAGGGATATACCGTTTAAAATATCATGGTATAGCCAGTTTTCACACTGGTCAATGAAAAATAGCCAGCGTTTATCAAGTCAATGAAAAATAGCCACTATTTTGCTGCAACAGGAACCGGTCCAGTGTAATATACGGGAGTTCTGGTGCATTTGTGTACGAACTCCAGCATACTATGCTGGACCGGTATACTTTGCTAACTCCTGTAAAATTTGCGGGAGACTGGAGCACCAGTGCTCCAAACTCCAGTATATTATACTGGACAATTATACTTGCTGGAACTCCCGTAAAATTTGCGGGAGTTCCAGCATAATTATGCTTGAACTCCGTAAATTGCGGAGTCCAGCATAGTTATCCTGGAACTCCGTAAATTTACGGAGTTCAAGCATACTTATGCTGGAACTCCCGTAAAATTTGCGGGCGTATTTTTCCGGATTTTGAACAGTGTTTTCGCTCAGATTTAAAGTGGCTAAATTTCGATGACTTTTGAAACTTGGCTATTTTTCAACGACCAGTGGTAAATCTGGCTATTTTTGAATTTCTCCCGATATACCGTTGTCTACCCAACAAGTCAATCTCTAACTAAAAAAAAAATTGTATTCACTATTTAGTAGATTTAGTTTGTAAAAAAACAAAAAGAGAAAAAATTAGAGAGGCACTGTATCAAAGTGTCGTCGTTGGTGAGAGATTAGGAAAACCATTGCTGAAACTGTATGTGATGAGCGAAGGAAAAAGCACCAAAGATTGTACTCAAGTCATTACCAAAGAGCTTACAGAGGATAACCGTCTTGAAATCCAAGGGACTAGATTAGGTACTACATTAGTTTCGAACCAGTATAAAAACATGGCGTGTCATTTACATTTCCTGCACTATATCTTTCTGCACAGTATCTAGTTGTGCTTGAACATCTGCTTTAGTTGACTACCATTTCTGTGAAGTCTACTAAGATTTTAAAAAGGATACAATCCCCCCCCCCCCCCCCTTGTACTTTCACAAATCTCCCTACAATTTGAAACCAGGCCTCTTTCTTCCATTCATATAAATGTACATTAAGAGCATAAGCAAACTGTACAAGATAGTATGAGCTTAGTTTATCAAAGAAAATAAAGACAACATAAAGTGGCTCAATTAACGCATTGACAGAGAGCAACCATACAAGAATTTTCAGACAACCAACATGTATCGAACTGCCAGACATAACAAAATGTAAAATAAGAAATATCAAAAAAACCAGTGAAATGCGTCTTACCAGCAAAGATTCCATTGAATTTCCATTTTACACAGTTTCTGATCTGATTGACTTCGAGCGTTGCATTTTCATTCGAGCCAGCTTGAAGAGAAGGGTTACTCCTTCATGCTGAAGAACTGAAGTAGTTGCGTTCAGTAAATGGAATTTGTGTAGTGTTTGGGATCAATTATTTGAACCCTGTTATGGTTTGCTTTAAATGAAAATAGAGAAAAACATTGGGGATCGAACTGCAAAAGAATCCCAACAGAAAATTGCAGACAAAACATTGCTCCTGTTCTCACTTCTCAGAAAATCATTTGTTTCTTAAAAACAATTGTGAAAAGCCTATGAAAGAGAGCATAATTATCTCATTTCTATTTGGAGAAAACATTTGACCCTTAAAACAGAAGAAATCTTAATCCTATCACAGTCATTAGGTTAATTCTAAGCTAATGCTCTAGCACAAAAACTAAAACACTTAATGAGTACTGAAAGTTCATTGTCGATGAGATTTACTTACATGATTCAAAGGCATAAACTTTAAGCAAGTTGTTTCCCAATTCCTCATGCATTTCCTGGATCTGCTCCGCAAAAATCACCAGAGAAAGACAGCATTTATGTAACTCAATTAGCTGCAGTGTCACACTATCTGCAAATCCTTCTGGGATCTCTTGTAAGTATACGCAATCTCTGATGTATACACGCTCAAGGCATTGGAAGTAATCATCGGTGGCTGTCCAATAACTAAGAAACAGATGCTCAAGGAGTAAGAACTTCAATTTTGGAAAGCCCATCTCTGTTACTTCCCACTCAATGCCAACGAAGGCATGATCCTTCAATTCTAGCACCTCGAGATTGGGCAACTTGCTAAAAATGTTCATGCAGTTCCATGGAAGACAAGTACCGCTAAGTGTCAACTTCTTGAGATTTGGTGGGAAAGAACCTGGACTTGGATTTATTGAACGCGGCACAGCGTTGGACATGAACATAACAAGACGATGCCAAACTGCAACATTTAGTGTCTCTAGCTCTTTTAAATATTTAAGATTATTTTCCCATCCCATCATACTATAAAATTCCTCTGCTTTACCAGCAATTTCCAATTTCCTTACTTTCTTAATCCCTTCAAATATTTCCTTTGTACAACAAGAAGGTGTCAACCCAGAAACAGTTTGTAAGTTTTCCAAAACCAAGTTCTTCACCTTATTTCCTGATACCGTCTGAGGAGATTCCAAATACATACACCAGCAATGGAGATGCCTTAACTGAGATAATTTCCAAATTTCATTTGGTAAGGACAGGCTCCAATCACTAATGTATGATAGTGGCCGAACAATGAGAGTTTGTAAATTCAGAAGTTTAGAGATTGGTAATTGTCCAGACCTTTTAAACGTCAATGCCAAATACCTTAAAAAAACTAGGTCTAGTATAGCTATGGGGAAATCGAAAAAACGATTTTCCTCCATGTCCAATACCCTAAGAAGTTTGAAATGAAAGTGTGCTATGTTAAGGAACATATCAGAAGGGTAAAGAGACAACGAACGTAATTTGCTATGATCAAGATTATAGAATCGACTGCTAAAATGAGTGGAGCGCTCTGATTTTCTTAAAATCCACCTACAACCTTGAGGGAAAACTAATCCAGGTCCAGCATTATCGGTATTCTCAATATACAAAAGACCCTGGCGGTCGGCTTCTCTCAAGCAGAAATCATGTACAAGATCATGAATCAAACATGTCATGATTTCCCCATCCATACTTCGCTTGCTAACAATAACTAGACTTTTATCAATAAGATAATCCAAATGACTAGCAGCCACTTTTTCCAATCTCTCCGTCCCCTTTACTTTTAGGAGTCCTTCTGCAATCCATAATCTAATTAACTTTCCCACAGAAATTTCACTAGCTTTTGGAAAAAGTCCAAAATACAGAAAGCTACCTTTCAAATAAGAAGGAAGATGATTGTAGCTTAAAGCTAGCACTCCTGAGCATTGTCGATAAGCATCAACGTCTGCTAATGAGCTCACACTTTGAGCTACTTTTCTCCACTCATCCAATGTCCTCTTGCTAGAGAGAATCTTGGCAACCACAGCAATCATAAGTGGTAATCCTTTGCAGTTTATTGCAACCTCCTTTCCAACATTCTCAAATTCAACTGGAAAACAATTTTCTGCAAATGCTTTTTGATAAAACAAATTCCAACTGTCATCTGGGTTAAGTAAATGCATCCTGAAAGGATCCTTAGAAAAGCTAGCATATTGAGCAACCTCAACGTCTCGAGTGGTCAACAATACCCGACTTCTTACACCATAGTCTGGAAGACACAGTCTAATATCATCCCAAGCTTCCTTGCTCCATATGTCATCCACAACAATAAAATACCTTCGACCCTTTAAACCTTTCTTCAAGCGATCTGCTAGTACTTGATCGCTTTTGTTTTCAAGCTCTTCTTCCTTTGCAGTATTAGCATCTTTAAGGAGGCCTAAAAGCGTCTTTCTAAAACTATAGTCCTCAGACACAGTAACCCATCCACGAATATCAAAGAAGCTCAAAATTGAGGGATGAGAAGACAGATTTTTGGCAAAAGTTGACTTACCAATGCCACCCATACCTGTAACAGAGATGACTTCCAATGGAGCTGAGCCTCCGGTAAGTTGACTCAGCATGTCTGCTTGTTCAATGTCGTACCCTACCATATCGTTCTCAAGGGTTGGAGCATGCAATCTTGGTGAACTTGAATCACAAAGCGAGGAATTTCCGGCTTGCAAATTGTTATTTTGACTGTGTTTGATGAGTCCTTCCTTGAGGGAATCAACCTTTTCTATAGCTCGTTGTAAGATCTCAAAAAAACTCTCGAGGGCTTCCTGTTGATGGAGTCCATCATGTTGTTCATCCATTACCACTTGCATCTGTGATTCAACTTCATCTTCTACTTCATTTGCTATATGTTTGACTTCAGCGTGCAAATTCTCAGTTTGTTCAGCATCAGAATTATCAAGGAGCTCGTGCAGAGAATCAACCTTTTCGTAGAGTAAATTCAAACTTTTCAAACTAGTGTCCCTTAGATTTAAGTTTGAATGCAAAAGCTGAAGCTGTTGTATTGTTCCGATTAGAGAAGTCAGTGCAACATATGCAGCCATCTCTCTCTTTATACTTCTGCAGTAAAGGATCTACAGATTAGCGAATGAAGCAACATGTACTCAATATACACTTGAATTGGCAGGCATGACAAATTGTAAGATTGAACTGTATCACATACAAGTTGTTATTTTCTTTGGATAGGTAACAAGTTGTCAACTTTTTTAAGGCTTAATACATACGTTACCTCTCTAACTTGCACATTAGCACTGAAGCTCAAAACTGAAAAGCTTTTGTCTTTAGCTCCAAAGGTGTCCAAAGTAAAGGGCAGCCCGGTACACTAAGCTCCCGCGCATAGTGGGGTCCGGGGAAGGGCCAGACCAAAGGTGTCCATAGTGTTGTTCACATATTCTAATACAGAAACTTATTTGTTTCTGCTTCTCCAAACCACTTGCTTTAATATTCTCAGCTTTTCATTAACATTTATTAAGTACTTAGCAAATAACAACACAAGAGTATACAAATACAACAGTGCACAAAAATTACTTCTTCTAAATATCTCCCCCTTAAAAAGCACACAAAGTTAGGTTCTTACCTTAAGCCAACTACATTTCTTCAATCTCTCCATCTCTCTTTTCCCCTTGTCAATACATACATGGTTTCGTTAGATGGTGAATCTAGATATACGATGCATTGGCATAGGTGGAAGCATTGACAGAGAGAGTAAGTATTGGTGGAGGCGACGGTGTACTGTAAGTAGGGGTGGCAAACGAGCGGATCGGGTCGGATATGGGACGGGTCGAAAACGGGTCAATGAAAAATGGATTAATTATCCGACCAGACCCATATTTAATACAGATAAAAAACGGATTAACCAACGGATAATATGGGTAGCTATATTATCCATGGCTTTATGAATATGATCACTTTTGGGAGAATTGCTAGTCTCCCAAACTTGAGGAACCCCCAATTTGAGTTCTACAAATGTAAGAGTTAAACTCATTACTTATCCATTGGTTATCTATTTTCTAAATGGATAATATGGTTCTTAACCATGCCGTTTTTAAAAAGCTTATTAACCAACTCATTTTTTAGTGGATAATATGAATGGTTAACTGTTTTTTAACCATTTTACCACCCTACTTAAGTGACTACAAACTGTTTCCTTTTTCTTCTTTTTTGGT